CTGCAGATCAGGAATGAATATGGGTAGCGATCCAAATCAATTCGTCTCCCCCGAAGCTAGTTTTTGGAGAGCGTATAAAGGCTGATAGTTAAGTTGCATTAAGCAAGTAAATGTTTGTACATAAAGTGTCAATCAGAATGGACAAACTGATTGGTTTTGAAATCCATCCTTTGTGTCTGTCGCGTTCATCACCAAGGCCAAATAAGCATTATGACGTTGTCTAATTGTTTGTATTACATTGTTTAGTCGTTTAGTCGTGTCCGACTCTTCGTGACCCCATGGACCAGAGCACGCCAGGAGGTCTCTATATTTTCTCCCGGTGCCCTGTGGTCAGGGACGTGGTGGCGCTGTGGGCTAAACTGCAGAAGCCTGTGCTGCAGGGTCAGAAGACCAAGCAGTCGTAAGATCGAATCCACGCAACGGAGTGAGCGCCCGTTGCTTGTCCCAGCTCCCGCCAACCTCGGTACCATCTTGGTGGGAAGGTAAACAGCGTTCCGTGTCTAAATCACACTGGCCATGTGACCATGGAAAGATTGTCTTTGGATAAACGCTGGCTCTATGGCTTGAAGAGCGGGATGAGCGCCGCCCCCTAGAGGCAGACACGCCTGGACAAAAATTGTCAAGGGGAACCTTTACCTTTACCTTTTTGCCCTGTGGTCAGAGCCTTGCCTTTAGAATGCCCACTGTTCTTCTTATCTTGCCTTGTTTACTCATGGGTTACAAGGACTGAAATCAACCATAGGTCAGGGAATATTTAACTCTAGAATATAACAGACTTTTTAAGCATTTGCAGACATTTGCCTTAAGAAAGATACAAAGTACTATAAAGTCAGACATGTAAGACTATAAAATTCTGTAACATGCTGGAGAAAGGTTAGGGTAAGATTGTTTTTGCCTATTTACATCAATGACACTAGTATCACAATACTTACTTTTCATGTAGGAGAGGGCTGAACCAATTTTTTGTGGGGTTTGAAGAAGCCTGGGAGACTGCATGGTGGCTGCAATGTTTTTTAGATGAATGCTAGAAAACTCAGTTTAAAAATAAGGCAAATTTCAAAGTAAGTGCAAGTGACTGGTTCAGATCTTCTTGTACAGTTATGCTGGGATATCACACTCTGACTTCTGAAGGTGAAGTATCTTAAGTTATGAAATCACTGTGATATGGACATCACCTGCTGCATACTGGTAATATCTACAGTGATTTCATAATTTGGGAAATTTGCCTCAAAAGCTATGGCATTTGCCTTGTTACACATGAGGATTTGGCCCAGTGAATGGTTTCCTGCCTGTTGTACAAACAAAGCTTTTCCTGACACACTCAGAGCGATGTACTTTTTATTGACAACATTAATCTATTGCAATGCATCATTAATCACAGTAGGTATCCTGAATATTGAAGGAAGGGGGGGTGCTTTAGCTCTGCATTCTCTGCAATCTCACCCAGTGCTATCCTCATGTGGACAGTGGCTTTGCAAGTAGTCTGTGGAGACTTTCTGTAAAATCTGGGGACCTGGAAGATCAGCATTCTGGATTGTATGGAACACGTCCCCGGATAGAGGACCCTGTTTTGTTCACAAAGTTACTCTTGAGGAGAGTGACTAGGGTGGAGAAAAAATCAAGCATTCGCTGTGTTTGCATGTGTGTTTCATGTCCAATTGGGATGTAGTGAAATCAGGATGCTGTGCTGATATTTCAGGGAGACAGTGGGCACCAGGATGTGTTAGATCATTTCTATTAACAGAGGAGTGCCTGTTGAATGTTGTTGAATACACAGCTTTCTCCAGCTACAGAACCATCCATCTTATTTCTGATGTGGAAAGCTTGATAGTTTGCCTTTAAGGTTGGGGTGGGGGCACCACTCTTTCTTTTTGCTTTCATTTTAAAGTCAGCACCTGGTGGAGAGGCCTTCTCACCCTTTCAGTAATCCCAAGGAACCTGGCAGGAGATGTAAAATGCAAGTTATCTGTAAGAGCGTGTTCAATGAAATGTCAAGACGCTCACTTGCTTCTCAGCAGTTATTGACCTACCAGGTAAGAGGGAATGTTTTCCACTTTCCTCTCTCCTTTTTTTCCTCACAGAGACAGGGTGGTTTTAGTTTTCTGCCTCACAGATATAATAATGAACTGTCAATTAGGTGCTCGAATGCATTGGGAGATGTGTAAAACCTCACAAGCATGGTAGCTTAGCAAATTAAGAATTCATTTGACGTTCTTCAGCATTCCTACACGTGCTTAAGAACACAAGTCTAATTAGCCAAGATGGCTGAGGGCCAGCTGAGTTTATATGCTAGGTTCCATGAAACGGTGTTGAATTGAAGCCCTTCCCAGCCTAGGGATGTAGAAAATTACATACTTATGCTCTTGGTCGGGCATCACTGTGTGCCAGTATAGTGGCTATGTGTCCCTTGCAGCAGTTTGGATCCAGTGTAACTCAGCTCTTTCCTTTCCCTTACCGCTTGTTGTGTTTCTGCTGGTGGATTGTAGCCTGCAGATCACTGAGAAGGTTCTGCCAGCACAAAGACAGTTTTACTAGTACAGTACTAGAAACTCCTTCCTTTTGCTAACCTGCAGTGGTTGGGATATTTTTCCGTTTGGGAGATATTGCCTGGATGCTGTCCTCTACACACTTCCTTGCAGGTGTGTCCCTCTAAACTCAGCAGATCTTAATCCTGAATTGGCACAAATAGGATTGCACTGTAACCCAACTCAGAGATGGGGCATGATGGCAACTCCTAACGTTTAGCCTAGTATTCACAAGAAGAAAAAAATAGTTGCTGAAGTAAAAAAAAAAGGCAGAAAGTATTCAACACAAATTTTAAAATGTTAATTTAAAGACAAAAGGCAAAATACAATAAATATATTAATCATCATCTTCATTTTAATCTTAGAACTGCAGAGCTGAAAGGGATCTTCTGGATCATGGAATCCAGTCCCTATCAAGGAAGCACAGTGGGAAATTGAAATCCCTTTCTCTGGCTTTGCCATTAATAATTAGATAAGTCCATGAATTATTATTTGGGGTCAAGAGGGGATTTGTTCTTTCCTAGATAACAATTTTGGTTGATTTTGGCCTACAGGAAAATCTGTGCATCTTTCTCATGTTTGGAAGTAGCAATTATTTGTCAATAAATATTTTGCTCTATAACTGCTATTACCTTAACAGTTCCATCAGGATGGTGGATTCTTGGCTGACTCCATTCCTAGATGGATACTTGTAATTTGCCAGTCCAGGTTCCGTTGCATTCTATATTCACTTCACCTTCCTCTTGTTCTGCAGTTCATACATTGAGAGGAACAGACTTGTATGTATGGTAGGCATGCCTAGAAGAGAAAGAAAGAGAAAGATTGAGGGAGAGTGTGTGTGAGAGAGAAAGGCAAAAAGATGCCCAGACAAGAGCTCAGAGCATTATTTTTTAATACCTGCTGGAATGTCTCTCCTACCAAATAGCTACCCAGTCCACTCCTTGCACTCTTTACTATTAAAAACTATAACACTGAAGGAGGCCAAGAAAGTCATCACTTCAAACCAAGTGTTTTCTATTGCGCCCCCCATTTATGAAGTACTGTAAATTGCTACTTGAGGTTCACCAGGTCCCTGCCCTCCCAGTTTAAAAAAACAACAAACCTCTTAAAAATAGCATTTTTTAAAAAACTTCCTTTATAAGATGTCCTCCTTTTGAGGACCTGTGTATTAAATCTGATTTATACTGGCTTTGGTGACCTATGTTGCGTTTTATTATATTTATTGCTCTGCACTATATTGTTTACTTGTTTGCTAATTGTTTTTAATTTATTGGATTATTTATGTTTAGGTGTAGGCTGTTAACCACTCAGAGAGTACACATTGCACTTTTGGGTGATAAATAAATAAATAAATAAATACTGTGTTACTTGCTATTTTAGGGCAATCAGGTGAACGTTACATTACCATTCCTCTGGTCACAACATTGATTCATTGTGTTGTGCGTTAATGCCATGTTGCACTGCTCTTACAGGGAGTTTTTGTGGTGTAGTGGATAGAGGGTCTAACGGGGAGTCAGGAGATCTGGGTTCAGATCCCTGCTCAGCCCAGGAAACTTGGATGAAAATGGTAAGGTACTCCTTGACCATTTCTCATGTTTCGAAAACCCACTGAGGGTCATAATAAGTCAGGAGTGACTAGGCAACTCATAATAACAATTGTGGTTACAAGCAGGCATATATATATAGAGAGAAATATATTCCTGAGCTCCCTGTAACAGCCAATTTTGATAATGCACTCTGAAAACACAAAAAGACAAAAAGCAGCTATGCTTCTGTTCCTACTTCTGTTCCAGCCGCCCCCAGTAGACATGGTCTAGAGGGGTGGGGGAAAAATCAAATAAATAAATAAATAAATAACACAGACAGAATCCAGTCTCTTTAAAAATTACAGTATGTATTGTGTTTTGACCCATCATGAGCAAATGTCTGTTCATCAGATAATGAAAGGGACAAGGACAGATATTGCATACAAATAAGTCCAGTGTAGAAAGGAAAGGGTGGTTTATGAGTGGTGAGATAGTAACATTCATCAGTCAGCTGAAGTTAATAAGATAGGTTTGAATGTCCTGGAGCTGCTGATTTTAATAATTAGATATCCATGTGACACAAATGACTGTGATAAAAAAACACCCTGAGATTTAGAGTATGATAGTATGTCATCACAGTAATCTGAGCATACACTCTTGGTTTCAAGTATTTGTACTTTTCAGGAATATCTTATACAGTTACTGTATCTTGTACAGGTTTGTCATAGAGCTGCAAAAGTAAATGTACCACATTGGAAAAGAATGGTGAGTGGAGTCTGAAGACTAAGGGACTGCATCATATCAGAAAGCAACATAATGGCTCTTTACTACTTAGATTTGTAATTATGTCCTGTTCTGCTCCATCACACCATAAGAGAAACTTGTAGTAGCTTTTATTTATCCCCTTATTCCTTATTGCCGGATTGTTGCTAATAAAACAGCACTGATGTGATTTTTTTTTCTTCTTCACAGATTTCCAGTCTCCTCCCAGTACCTCAGGCAGTCTGGACCTTAAGGAACAGATAAGAAAGCTTCAGTTAGCAATTCATCAAAAGACAAGGCTGGAAATTGGTGATGTTGTCAGAGTTCGGGGCTCCATTCGGATCTACAGACAGCAGCGGGAAATCAAAGCCTCCCTGTATTGTGAGCAGTTATTCTTCCACTAGTCTGTATTTTTGTCCTGGCGTTTAATGCTTACATAATTATAACTTCAGCAGCCTGCAATTTCCCTAAGCTTTGCCAAGACTGTTTTTAGTCTCAGCTGGGCCATTTTGAGTCACTGATCCACACCCCTATGACTGCTGCTATTTATAACCGAAAAGACACGAATGGACAATTTTGACAGAGCAAGAAACCAAATTTTTGCCCCAAACGCCACAGACAGCACCAGATCCAAAAATGGTGAAAAAGTTCAGAAATCACCAAAATGAAACAAGCATATAAAACATCTGAATTGGTGAGATCTTCCAAATGCAGTTCCAGAGACTTAAAGGAAAATAGTGGTATACTTCCTCTCCTGCCCATAGATATTTGACACAGTAAATTCCGAGTATTTTACACAGCAGATTTTGACATTTGTATAGTAGTAAATACTTTATTACAACCAGCAGATCAAATTTTTATATTTTTTTCAGATAAAGTTGATGATCCTATGTTTGATGTCCAGATTGCAAGGATGCTAGAACTCCCTAATTTGTACAGAGACATATATGATACGTCATTCCAGTTTCCAGAAGAGGTACAAAGGTCAGTTAGACGTATATCTAAAGGAAATAGATAATTTGAGATACAAGTTAAGAGGTGGGGCTAGGGCCTGAGTTGCACAGAGTATGGAATCCAGGATGGAGAACATGAACTAGAGGCTCCTGGGTGGCATCCTATGGAAATTTAGTTGGTACAGTGGAGAAAGCATGAAAATGTGATAAGATCAGAAACAGAAGAAGGTACAAAAATATGATAGGAAGAGATGCTAGTGATTTGTCTACAGCTGAAAGAGCTATAAGAAACAATGGCATAACCAAATGTCGTCAGCAAATACATCCAATTATTATCTTGAATAATCGGAAGTCAGAAGGGATAGTCAAACTCTTGACTCTCAAGGACATCTCATTTCGTGGGTTGTTACAAAATATAGTGCTCATGTATCTGGAGAAATTGAAATAGAGCTAAGGAAACAACTGGAGGAGTTAAATACAGCTCATAAATTGATTCATGCTGTGAGGCCTCAAAGCACTAGGAAGCAGTATTGTATCACAATTATCTTTTTCCGTTTTAATTCAATTTATTCTCCCTTAACAGTGGCAGAAGTATAGCAGACATGTTGGGCTCCATCAGTATACTGAGTGAAAAAATAAGAGTCTTCCTGATGCAGAACAAAATTCAGAGCTTCTATAAGCAGGACTTGGAAACAGTGAAAGATCTTGTATCTCTGGTCAAGGATGGAGGTCAGAGTACCAATGCTGAACAAGTGAGTAAAAGTTACTTTGCATGCATTTATCTTCTTGTCAGGTCAAGTGAGAGCCATGCAGTTGTTGTGAATTTAAGAACACAAAACCTGCACCAATTAACAGTATGCTGGTATGCTCTAAACTTTTTATCTCCAGTAAGGAAGAATAGAAACTAATGTGTTAAACCACAGTTAAAGCTTTGATTCTCAAGGAACTGGATGATCAGCTATGTTTCACACATGGCTTTAAAGGGAACAGATCTGTTCTATCTATAAAAACCAACTGCGGAAATTAAAACATGGCTTTTAACTTCCATTTTAATTTCTGTCAGAACCATAATTAAAAAAACCTTTGAACTGCAGCGCTGTGTAAGGCAGTGGTCCCCAACTCAACCATGACATGGGGACCGACTCCAGGTCAATCACCATCGGACCACTCTTGCTCCAACTGGAGGAAAAAACAAGGTCAAGTGTGTGGCCGCCCACGTGGGTGGGGCCATTGACATGTTGGGACATATTCAAGAAGGCCATGGTCTCCAAGAACTCAAGAGCTGGCCCAGAAGTCTTTGCCCCAGCGTGCATGTTGAAATCCCCCAATACCAGTAGCTTCAGGGATCCCAATAGTGCCACGGAGACAAAGTCCACCAGCTCCAGTAGGGAAATGGCTGGGTCGTGGGAAGCACAGTAACCCAGCAAGATCCCAATACCATCCCTAGCCCCAATCGACACGTGGAGAGCCTCTAGACCTGGCTTTACCATCGAGGAGCGCCTAGTAACCTCCAGGATGGATTTGTAAACAATGGCTACTCCCCACAGCCCCTCCAGTCTACCCTGGTGTTGGACAGCATAACGGGGCAGACAGATGAGTGCTGGGGGGGACCTCCCTCTCCGCCGATCCACGTTTCAGTTATGCAGGCCAGGTCTGCATCCTCCTCCAGGATAAGATCGTAAATTACCAGGGCCTTATTAGATACAGACCTGGCATTCAACAACACCAGGTGTAGAGTGGAGGGCTGGCTGGTCTGGCTACCTTGATACTGGGGGTTTATCACAGTCTCAGAACAATGAACAGCCTTCAAGCATCTGTTCATCGTTCTTCTGACATGAGTAGGGACTGTGCCAATGCCATATCTCCCTCTACCGGTGATCACAGAGATGTTTTGGGGCCCCTCGCTGGGAGGGCAGGCCTTTTATTCCATATCAAAGAGGGGGGAGGGGGGAGAGAAGGGGGGAGAGAAGAAGAAAAGAGAAAGAAAGAAGGAAAAAGAAAAGAAAGAAAAAGAAAAAATTACCTTAACACAAACAAATTAAATAACAAAACAAAAACAAAATGAAAAATAACCATATACAGTGTAGCGAACAGTACATTAAGTAGGAATACATATATCAAATATAATGTAATAACAAAATCAAATTAAGAAATACTAATAAAAAATAATAAAAATAAAAATTATATACTAAGAAGAAAGAGAAAAAAATCCCATAGAGATTATCCCCCAAACATAACCCAGAACTGTCCGTCTCCACCATGTGTCCTTGTCCTTTTTGGTGTTATGGGACTCAATGGTGTTAATGGCGGCACTGATATGTGGTTCTCGTTAGAGAGGCAGGACTCACAGGTCTTAGCAGCGAGCTCAGAGTTCGTAATGAAGTGCGTAGACAGGTTCAAAAACACCAGGTCAGTCACCATCAGACCATCCAGGCTGGAAAGGGCACAGTCCCTGCCATTTTCCACCCTTGATGGCCAGCTTGCGAAACATCTTTGTTAGGCAGCCGAGAGCAGTCAAAAGAAGGAGGACCTGTAGAAAGAGCTTCCAACATGGCGCCAGCGTTCCGACGCTCCGGCAACCACCCAGGCACCCTCTGACTCTCGCAAGGACCCTGCACTCTCCTGGCTTCCGATCCAAGCACTCCATTCACCCACTCCATCAGGAGGATCTCACCAGTCTTAGATGTCAGCTGCTGGGTCCTCCATTGCAGTGCCTCCTGGAACAAGCAAGGAGCCTCCGAGCTCTGGCGAGCAGTCTGCAGTTGACCCCCACGTCCTGAGCTCCAGCCCTGTTCACCTCTGTAGCTGCCAGCACTTTAATCTTCATTGTGTTTTGCGATTCACAGTACCAGCAAAGGAGGAAACAAAAAAGTTTGGTGACACCACTGCCTGCACATTGAGCTGAAAGGTAATGCTTTGAGCAAAAGAGCAATGACTTCCTATGGAAGGATTACTTTGAGGAGCAAAGTCCGATCCGACTCAAACCCCACAGCCTGCAGCCCAGGATTCAGAGCTCTTTCCAAGCTCACCCCCAGTGCTTTAGGACTAGTAGGAGAGGAAGGCAGTTCGAAAAAAGAAAGTAAACAAAGAAGAAAAAAGAAAAAGAAAAGAAAAAGAAAAAATAGGCAGGAGAAAATTATAAAATGTGGAAGAAAGCAAGTCAGGCGGCGGCAGCAAAATCGCTACCCACCCGCCGCCGGCGCCATCTTGAAAAAAATGCCTCTAAAATACTTTAAAATGGTATTTGAAAATAAGTTTGGAGTGTAACTGGAAAATATTATACTAAAGTAACTTTGTAACTTCTCCTTGGTCGTAAGCCTGTAACAGTTTGTATAAGACATGTGTAACTTCATGTTGCTACTTGTGAATAATTGAGGTATAATGGGACATCCTAGTTTTGCAGTCTGACACATGACTTGGCTCATGCTTCAGATCTGCCTTGATACCTCATCAATTAGTGGCAGTTAGCCACTTTGAGTTGTGCATACCTTATATGCTTATCTATAGGGTTCTGACCACTAACTTCCTTTTGCATTGTGATGTAGGAATCTGGTAGTGGAATTTAATCCCACCCTTGTTAACTTCCAAAATTAACCAGTCACAGATTACTTGTTACTAGTTGCTCCCCAGCTCTGGCTGGGCCCAGACATTGCAGGGTAGTCAATTGTCTCATATTGTTTCCTGTTAAGGTAGGAACCCCTGTCATCTTTCTCCTGGTGAAGGAAGAGTGGCATGTATGCCAGCAGAGTGTATACTTTTAAGGGGCATCTTAGAGACATTTTGACAGAGATTTTTCTGGTGCCATTCCACTCTTTTAACAGTTGCAAGGAGCAAGGGAAACAGGGTTTTGCTTTGTTTTCTGTGTTTTTAAGGTAGAACAACAAATGGCAATCCTTTCCCTATGGTCATTGTCCACAGCTCCTCTATGTAGTGACAGGTCATGATTTGGTCAGGGAATGCAACCCCAACATTTCAGGGTGAGATGCCTCTTCTCCCATTCCACAAGCTATTGATGTACAGTGGTGCCCTCCTTGACGACGATAATCCGTTCCAGGAAAATCACTGTTAAGCGAAATCTTTGTCATGTGAAAAAAAAACCATTGGAAGGCATTGAAAACCGGTTAATGCATTCCAATGGGGAAATACCTCATCGTCCAGCGAAGATTGCCCATAGAGAACTGCTGATCAGCTGTTTAAAATTGCTGTCTTCCAAAGCTTCTGTCTGGAAAAAACCCATTTTGCGAAAGGAAGCCATTTTGCAGAGCCGGAAAAAACATCGTTTTGCGAACAAACGGTTCGCGAAGCAGGCACCTAATTGACGTAAAGCGAAAAAACCCTATAGGAACCATCATTTTGCGATTGCTATAGTGATCACAAAAAATCATCGTCAAGCGATTTCGTCGTCAAGCAGGGTTGTCATCAAGCGGGGCACCACTGTATCTATATGAACCAGGTTATTTTTGCACTTGAGGCAGAAAATTCCTACTTACTGACCTTGATTGTGAAAATATAATACTAATATAACTTGTGGTAACACTGAAAATCCACTGCCTATGACAGCCTTCTCACTCTATGTAATGGTACACTGATCAGCCCTGTATGTGGTTTTATCTAGAATAAAAGGAAGCTACTACAGCAGTATAAGCAGGCCACTGCGAAAGTAAGTATTGCTTTTACCACACAGACCACAGCGCACTACCTCAGCAATCTGATGCCTGTCTTTCTTGTCATAACTTTCTTCTGTCTTCTTGAGGTCATCTGCTTGTCCTGCCATGGCACGAGGTAGCTGGCAACCCAAAAGGTTCTGTTTCCTTCCAGAAGACCCATCATTAAATGTTTGCCCAAGAGCAAAGTCTATTGAAATGATATGAGGTCTCCCAAACCGGCCTGTATTGGATTGTGCTACACCTGGCCTTACTGGAATGGAAAGACACAAGCAGTTCCTGAAGTGTAAAGCCTAGGCCCTCTGTGCCATGCTCTTCCTTTTAAAAAGAGCTCTTTACAAACCAGAGAGAAGAAACCCCCATGTCACCTATTTCTAATCATTGCCCATGAAATGTGTGTCATGTAGAGTTACATAAGGGCTAGAGATTCCTTGTGAAGTATTTTTGCTTACCCAGGTATCTGAGAGTTCAGTAGATCTCATTGAGTAATCTCTTCAAGTTCTCCACCTCCTTATGTTACTGAAATATAGCAAACTATAGTGCTTTGGATTTTTGGCATTTGGTTCTCAGCAGGAGAGACACAGCAGGCTGCTCGGTTTTATTTATTCTTTTATGTTCTCCTCTAAGAAATGGCTTTTCTGGAAGTGATGATTTAGGGCTTGCAATTCCTGCTAAATTCTGCAGAAACATCAGAGAATGAGAATTCTCCTAAAGCAAAGCAAAAGGAAGGGGGGTGGGTGGTGGGGGGTGGGTCATGGTGTTTTTCCCCCCCTAAAAGCAAGAAGGGATTCAGTGAAAGCAAGGCAAAACAGGCTGCCCACTCAAGGCCAAAACAGACACAACAGGCATTTTTGCAATTAGGAAGTGATAACGTGACATCCCTCTAAGGACACTCCTTCAAAGACGCCCCGCTTGCAGCATCAAACATGCTGACAGAACCCACTGTTTCTTCCCGATGACCAACCACCCAGCAAAAGCAAGCTGATTTGCAATTTGGGAAACTCTGTAAGACACAAGAAGATAATCACAAGGCTGTACTGGGCTGTGACTACATGGTCAACTACCATAGGATTTGCTACACTTATAAAATGGGTAAATGGGAAGTATTTTTTTACTGGCTGCATGACACCAAGGCTGATTTGAATCGCTCCACCCCGTTTTGTTCCCAGTGTGCTTTCCCCCTCTGCCACTGAGGGGGCTTCTACTTTATCACGCTGGAAGAATTTGAACAGCCTTTTTCTGATGTGATTAGCTGTGATACTTTTTTTGTGAAGATAGG